GGGGGGACAGGGACACTAACCCACATGCCTACAACACTCACAAAGTGTACAATGTGAAAAGGGACATTGCACTTCCCTACTGCTTTAGAAACCAGTAATTCATCTGTGTGAAAAGTGGCTGTAATTTAAACAATAATCACACACCAACAAATTGTAAGATTTTCATAGTTCCAAAATATCCCCTCCTCTCTTTAATAAGTCCCCTTCTTTCTAATTGGTTGCCTTCTCTCTAATTAGTTGCCCTCTCTAATAAGTCCCCCTCTCTCTAATGAGTTCCCATCTCTCTAATTAGTCCCCGTCTCTCTAATTAGTTCACGTCTCTCTAATTAGTTCCCGTCTCTCTAATTAGTTCCAGTCTCTCTAATTAGTCCCTGTCTCTAATTAGTTCCCATCTCTCTAATTAGTTCCTGTCTCTCTAATTAGTTTCCGTCTCTCTAATTAGTTCTCGTCTCTCTAATTAGTCCCTGTCTCTCTAATTAGTCCCCATCTCTCTAATTAGTTCCTGTCTCTCTAATTAGTTTCCGTCTCTCTAATTAGTCCACGTCTCTTTAATTAGTTCCTGTCTCTCTGGTTAGTTCCCCATCTCTCTAATTAGTCCCTGTCTCTCTAATTAGTCCCTGTCTCTCCAATTAGTTCCCCTCTCTCTAATAAGTTGCCCTTTCTCTAATAAATTGCCCTCTCTTTAATAAGCCTCCATCTCTCTAATACGTTCTTCTCTCTCTAATACGAGGTCCCCCTCTCTAATAAGCTCCCTTCTCTAGTAGGCACCCTTCTCTAGTAGGCACCCATCTCTAATAAGCACCTCTCTCCAATAAGCACCCCTCTTTGAATGCGCCTGAAACAACTAAACCTGCGAATAATTACAGCATGGTATTTAGAGAATATCCATTTTCTAGCGTACAATCAGGCACGACTTATTTGCGCCACCATCTGCTGCGGCACATCCCAGTCAAAAGACAAACAAATACGAGGTATTTAAATTATCATTCATTTGTAATTATTGACAATCCACTGTGTTTTCAAACCGATGTGTTTCATCATAACATTGCCTATACTTCTAGTTGAAACATGTCGAGTATCTCCTTGGTAGCACAGCAAAGCTAGGCAAGATTATCGTTCTTGGCATGATTGCACAAATTAAAGAGGTATTTCAAAACTAACCACTACATGCTCAAACCGAAGGCAAACATGGCTGATGGTTAATTTTGGTTACGAAGAAATGAATACTGTGGGGGGTTTTTTTGTAGGGAAAATATTATTTGGAAGACAGCACTGGTGTCGTTCAAGTGAATCTCTCAATTGCTGTATCCTTTTTAAAATTCTTTTACACCTCAGTAATACGCAACACTCTTTTTGTGACGAGTAAAGTTGTAGGGTGTATTTGGGCGAATTGAAATGACCCAATGAGGTATATTGCCATGCAGATTGCATATTTGGTAAGGATGCAACTACCCAAAAAATATAAGGAGAATGTCGATGTTTTGAGCGAAGGCCCTTCGTCTGGAGTTACTAGTTGGGGGTCCACTAGTAACTCCAGACGAAGGGCCTTCGCTCGAAACGTCGAATTTCTCCTTATATTTTTCGGGTAGTTGCATCCTTACAAACGAAAGCTTGTTCATTTGATTGGCCCTACCAATAACACTGGCAATGACAGTTCAAGATTGCACATTGTCTAGGCTTTTGCTCGAGGTTCTAGGCCAAGGATACCAAACGTTTCTTTAACCAGTGAACAGAAATACCACACAGGATTATTTACAGAAAATTGTTTCGTTCTGGCTGAAGGTATGGTAGTAGATGCTTTCAACTTTAACACAGAAGGAATCGATTTATATATTATATTATTATATTTATGGAACTTGAAAGCAACGAGTCTGTATTGAAAATAGATTG